AGCACAGTTTCCTGCTCTGTTTAGGTTTATTGCCTGGTAGACTGCACTCTGGGCATTAGAATCCCTTTCAATGCTACGGCAGCCCCGTTGACCAATAAACCTAACAAAGGTTCAAAGTGAAGCGCAGCTTCTAGTTTTTGAATCATTCTGTCACATATATGACGTGTTTACACCGTTTAGTCAGATTTTGTTTTATTATAATTTTTTGTTCGCCGTTAGCATCAGTTAGCACTTAACTTTAGCAGCTCAGTGTCTGAATGAATTAAGACTCTACGCAAACAAACTACGTGTTCAAATATGGCAACGCTTTTTGTTTTGTTAAAATGCTGGAGCCGGTCAGTTTGATAAGCTGTTAGTAGAACTGAACCTCTTCGGTTTGTCTGTAGGATTAGCTCGAGTGTTTGTGCTAACAGAGAGCTAGCAGTCCGGAATAAAAATGGAAGACACGCTGGATCCACGAGACGTGGGTAAGAACAGAGGGAGCTCGTTCAGACTCGGGGGTGGTGTAACTGGTGATGGGTCATGTAGAGATGTCCACCCACAGGTAACTTCTGCCGTGACGGACGCCATGTTGGTCAGGGCAGAGGCTCCACACAGTAATTCAGAACGTTAATGTCTGGTATTGTTTCCTTGTCTGGATTCAAACTTGTAAAATAAAAGTGGATTTAAATGTGTTCTGTAGAACGAGCCAAAACCTTCTGGGCAGAGGAGAATGTGGATCAGGCTTTCAGCGGGTTTTTTGAGTACCTGGACCACCTGAAAAGGGTCCTGAAGAGGAAAACAGCCACAGACAAAGGTGCTGACCCTCTTCCTGGTTGGTTTTTAGTGGAGCGATGATGCGTTTCCTGTTGTAATGTTTGTGTTGTTTCCATCAGAATATGTTCAGGCTCTGAGGCTGCTGGAGTCACTGGACTGTTCCTCCATTGATGACCACCAGGACCAGGACTCCTCTGTGGTCCAGGTGGTCATCGGTTCAGGTAAATGGCGGTCTGGACGTGTCTTTATGGTGATGTTGTTTTCGAAACAATGACATGTTTCTGCAGGTGAGCTGCTGCCAGCTGACAGTACAGCCTCCTCCTCTCCGTCCACCTCGCCCACCCCCATCCGTCTCTTCAACGGGCCCAACGTCTCCACACCTCCTGCTGGCAGAGAGGACCTGCTGCCACCTCTTGTTCCAGTCCAGCTGGAGTACCACCCGCACCGATGCTGCAAGGTAAACAGGAAGCAGCCCTGCAGAAAGAAACAGAAACGTCCTGTGGGAAAACCTCACGTCTCTGTTATTGTACCCCCACACCACCAGGCCTGCCTGCCCAGTTTACCCAGAACGCCTCTGTCCGCCTCCCTGTGTGGTCAGAACCCCCTGAAGGTGCCGCTGCTCTGCGGCTTTAAAAGACTAACCGCCATGCCGCTGRTGCTGCCGTTCAGAGATGGCGAGGAGGAGAACGGAGGCGACTGGGAYGTCATTTACAAAGCGCCGTGTGGACAGAGTCTCCGTAACTACGAGGACGTGATGTGCTTCCTGTCTGCCACGGAGAGCTACAGCGTCCTGCAGGTCAGAGACGTGGCAGCTCCTTCAGCTGCTGTGGTCTCAAACCGTTCGGCTCGTTCAGGAGATGTTTGATTTCAGAAACTTTGAGATTTTCRTAAATATTTATCATTTTGGATCTATTTGAAATGGACTGGGTTTGATCATTTTCAGAATCAGCTTTATTGGCCAAGTATGTTGACACACACACAAGGAATTTGTTTCCGGCTGTTCATGTCTCTCTAGTAATAACAATATACAGATACTTTACATATAATTTACACACAATACACACTATACAGAAAGATACACATTATACTTCACTATACCAGGATATATCTGTACCGTGTGCTTTACAGCGTTATTCACAAAAAAGAAATATGACAGCAGTATGCAGAGTGAATATTAAATATTAGTACGACAAGCAGCAATGTAAAGATCGATGATTATGAATAAGATGCAGGAATGTAGAATAATAAGATAAGATAAAACTTTATTGATCCCACAGTGGGGAAATTTGCACATTACAGCAGCTCAAAACAGGACAGGGTGAGATAGAATAAAGAAAGATAAGTAAAAGAAAAACAAAAAACACTATTCTCATGACATATAACAATGTACATATATATATATACCTAGTACAGTAAATAAATGAATGTATATGAAAGGTGCATATTAGCGAGGGCAGTGAAGGTGAATTGTCCAAGTCWCTGATAACATCATGATGTGTTATACTGTTATAMTTATTATAACTGCAGTTGGAATGAATGACCATTGGAAAGGTTGATAGATAGTTCTCTTTTAACTTATTTTAGCCTTGTGTTACTGGTTTTTCAATTAAATTTAGTTTTTAACTACAGTTTAGCTAATTTTAGCTTGTTCTGGTTTTCTGTTGTAGCTAATTTGTTTAATTTTAGCATTTAGTAATGATTTTGCTAATTTTAGCTCCTGTTGTTTTAAATCTGATAGTTTAGTTTCAGCTCTCTGTTTAGCTGTTTCTTAGCCTCTGCAGCGATCCTGCAGAAGAAAACTGCTAGAATAGAAACCACCCCACGATGGATCCTACACCTGTCCTCTTCCTGCTGCAGGTGGATTTCTTCACCTTCAACCACTTGGTTCAGTTGGACCCTCCCCTGGCTCCGGGTCAGCACCGCTCGGAGGAGGACTTGAGCCGAGGGGCGGAGCTGACGCCGGTGCAGCTGTGCGTCGGGGACGGCGGCGCCCGGCCCACAGACTTTCGCTACAGGAAAGACCGCTGGCCTCACGGCTGCTTCCTGAGCCGCGGCCTGAGGTTGTTCCGGGTCTGCTGCGACTGCRACGACGGCTGCCGGGATGCTGAGCGCTGCGCCTGCGTCGCCACGCTGAAGGGAGGGCGGGGCTACAGCCACCACCGGCTGTTGGCGCCCGTACCGTCGGGGTGAGGGACGAATAAAGGTTGATCAAAACTGAACAGCTGGAGAAAATAAAAACAGCTGCTGAGKTAACATCTCTTCCTTCAGGTTGTATGAATGTGGACCGTGGTGTGGCTGCGACCGCGCTCGCTGTCAGAACCGCCTGGTCCAGAGAGGCCTTAGAGTCCGCCTCCAGGTCTTCCAGACCGAGGGCCGTGGCTGGGGCGTCCGCTGCCGTGACGACCTGGACCGCGGCACCTTCGTGTGCATCTACGCAGGTGAGACTGTGTGTCACCGACCCGGTTCAGGAGACGGAACTTTAGTTTTAAACAGGTTTCCTGAACAGGTGTGGTCCTGCAGCGGGTCCAGAGTCCAGAGGAGCAGCCGCCTCCCAAGCTTCATGCGGCTGACCAGCCGTCTGATGAYGAGGTCGAGGTGGTCACAGAGTGGCGGGCCCCGCCGGTGCTGGAGGGGCGGAGCAACCTGGTAGAGACRCCACCGCCCACTCTGGCACCAGCCTCACCGCCACTGTACGTCCCGGTGATCCAAAGACCTGCAGAGTCCAGTGATACATCCCGGGACCAGGACCAGGACCAAGACCAGGACAAGGTTTGTGCCCATTATTGTGTGAATACTGAGTCATCAATATTGCATGAATGATGAGTCAGCGTTACCGCTATTGTTAGCCTGTTTTTTGTTTTGTTTTGTTTTGTTGTCCATGTTTTTATTAGTTTTTTTAAACTCATTCTGCAGACTTTGTACTGTTTTAGCTGTTCACATGAACATTCAGTGTAAATACAATGTAAATCTGTTCAATTCTTTCAAAACATTTACTCTTTGGAATCTGCTTCAACATACTTTTGCTAATTCTAAATCTGCTAATGCTTGTACCACTACTGCTGATGCTAATTCTGCTAAGCATAGGCGTGGGAAAGGGTGGGGGACACCCAATATTGGAGAAAGGCACATTTGTCCATAGGAGGRAAAAAAACGAAATACTTGATTTTAAAATTTTTACCTCGCATGCTTTTATTTTGAAGGCGCTACACAGCATCATTTCACTGCGCCCTTCCTCCCTCTGAATGACTCACAGTTAGAAACTCTTTAGGATGAAGTAAAACTGTCTGTCACTAATGTTGTGAATATTTCTTATAACTAGGGGTGTAACATTACATCGATCTATATCTATATATTGATTTGAATGGTTCATGATTCAGTTATATCGAGGCAAAATGAAAATATCGATTTATATTGTCATCATTTGCTCGATGTGAATCTATCATATGCCCATCTAACACAGTCATTGTGTTAGATGAGCATATGAAATCACATTATATTGATCGCAGACGTGTGAATTGAACTGAATCTAAATCGTATCGTGACAGACTTTGTGATATCGAGAAATATCAAATCGTCATCCAAACAAATCGATATAATATCGTATCATGATAAAGCTGGAGATTTACACCCCTATTTATAACGCTGTTGTCAGTTTACTTTCATAAACAGAAACTAAATCTTTTTTGATTCAATCATCTTAATCCTAGGACGCACACTCGTCCATATTTAATTGCTAACTTTACAAGTTCACACTAACCAAAATGTTTTATCACTTTTCACCACAAAGTCACCACCTGCTAAAAGGCTGAAACAGCAGCAGCAGGACTTTGTTCTTTTTAAAAAAACAGTAACAGAGTAACAGTTAAACAACATAAGGGCAACATCTAGAACCATGGCAAAACTCAGCTGATATTTTATCAACATGTTTGAAATCATATTAGATGTTCTGTGCAATGATATCTTATCAGGAGAATCATGGTAGTATACAGCAGAGTAGTGAGACATTTGAAGCAAAGAAAGGTGGAGGAAGCTCAGGCAAGGCTTTAAATTAGTTTAGTGAAATATGTATTAGCTTGTTTTTAAACAAATATTTTTATGATGAGAAGAACTGGATCGTGGAGGAGAGGAGTCAGGTGGAGCTTCAGGGTGTGAGGTCAGCTTTATAATAGATCCAGAACGAACAGCTGAGGACTGAAGTCAGCTTGATCTTTATTTATTTTTATTTTTTACTTTTATTTTGACAGTACTTACTTTTGGTCTGCTCCTGCCTCTCCCTCACTCTTCCTGCCTCTGATGTTCCTTTATGACATCAACATGTTTACAACAGAGAACACTACATGTAATGTACAGCACCAGCAAGTGACTTACAGAAGCTAAAGGTTTTTATCATACAGATGTTAACAACTGATTAACAGATGTATACATTTCGTATGCTGTCAACTTTGTGTAAAGCATAACCTAACCCTTACATGAAGGTAAGAGAGAGGAACACAGAACAGATATTAGAAAATCTTGTGATGGCAGTAATATTTGTAAATATTGCATTGATTGATATCAGGTGTGAGTTCAGTTTTTCCCCCTCTTTCCTTTCTTTCTAATCTGTTCTTCCTACTCTTTGTGACTTTTAGTAGTTTTTTTAAAGTCTTTTGTGTCTGCTGTGAACCTTGGCTGCTGTGAGACTCTGTCCTACAGGCTAAACATTGTATTAACA